ATCTCGGAGGGTTGAAGGTGCACATCCACCTCATTCAGGAGAAGAAGGTGTTTCTCAAAACTCCATGGGCCATTAAGCATCACCCGGCGTTTATCCGCTATATGGTGAAATTGAAACAGGAACAAATTATCCCCAATGACATGGAAGTCCATCCCTTGCACTGGTCTCCAAATCTGCAGGAGCGTAGACTTCATAGCTTCCGTATTGAAAGGTCGAGCGGTCAGCACCTTCCCCACTAGACCTAACCTAGCCCTCTCGGCAACGGATACTGTTAACGCCTCATCCACGACCACCGTATCTTGTTCATCCGTCGTAAGAGTTAACCGACTAGCGAGATCGGCAATAGTGTCGACCATGACGCCAATCACAGCGGACCCAACTCACCGTAGATGGCGAGAAAAAACTTGCACCAGAGGGCAAGACCTAACCCCTACTGGAGATGCCTTGGAGAGAGCATCGCTAGAGAGGAATCAATATTGTCTACAACTTGCTAAAACTTTACACCCCACCAATTTGAACTACTAATTTTAAATTTGAACTACTAATTTTCGTAAAGAAAATGCATAAGACCCCCAGTGGGGGTGCTGAGGGTCTCTTTCTATTGGTCAAAAAAATTATTTTTTTATTTTTTTTATTTTCAACCAATGACAACACGTCACGTCACTGGAGGTACCACTGAGGATCACCCCACTGGGTCAGAAGCATCACTGTTTTTGTAATTCAATAAAAAATTACGTAAAGTAACAATGTGCATAGGGTCCCTACTACAACCAAACATCTCATTCCAATTTATTTATTTTTTTTTTAAGTAAATAAAAAAAGGGGTAGCTAGGCTACGCTAGCCGCTAACCCCGGGTTAAAATCTCAGTTGGAGTGAAATATAAGGGCGCCATCCGGGAGACTATAGTATCTCATCCCAAAGACTTTGAGAAGCAAGCTAGTGCAAGTAACTTCAAAATTAAAATATTTTCACATATGAGAAGTGTGGCTTACCTATCTCTTCTCTTGGTGATGAATGGTGGTAAATCAAATTAGTGGCAGGGGCAAAGAACTGTCTTGTCTTCCCAATAATTGAGAATTCCATTGAACTAGGGGGTAGTCTTCCTTTGCACTTAGGGTTCCCCATTTATGCACCCAATGAGTTATCCATATCACAATTAAGACCGTGTTTGGAAAGTTGTGGAGTAGGCCATTTTAGTCTCAAGTTTGAAAAAAGCCATGTAGCTTGGCACTGTAGCTAAACCATTGCTTTATATTAAAAATAAAAAATAAAAAAAAAATAATAATAATAATTTGTAACTCGACAGCCTATAGTCAGTGGAACTATAGCCTACCACTGTCACTTGATGGCTGTCCCATCAGTAAGAAATGACACTTTTACCCCTTTATACTAATTTTGAAAAAAGTGAAATTGGGGACAAATTTGTCATTGTAACCTCAAATATCATTTCAAACACATTTTTTAATATAACAACTCAAATAAAAGTTCATCCCATTTTTTCAAATATAAAAACTAAAATAACCTATTAAAATAATCAAAAAATCAAAAAACTTAAAAAATAGTCACTTCCCAAATACCCACTAAGCCTATTACGCACAAAGCAACGATTAGTTTTGTTTTGTTGTTTCTTTCCATCTTTGTTCTACTTCTTTTGGCCAAAAAAAACAGGAAAAGTCAAACCTAGTGAAATAAACAACAAACTGAAACGTTTTTTTTTTTTTTTTTTTTGAGGTTTTTAAAAAGAAAAAAAAAAAAAAAAAAAAAACAAAGACTTTTTAATGTATTGAATAAAAATAAAAATAAATAAATAAATAAGACAATTTAATGTGTTAGAAAAAATAATTTTTGGTGACTTTAATTTAATATTAAAGTGTGGTGACTTTAGTTAAATATTAAAGTGGGTCCCAACCTTTTATTGTGTTAGGTCCAAGTAAGCCAAAAATCATTAGGTTTTAAATAAGAAATTGCCAAGAAATTGCCTCATGATGTTAGATTCATGAATATGATTTTAAAGAGTATTTAAATCTTTTTTCTTGGCTAAAGGGTGTGAATCCTTTGGGCATCCAAACTTTCATATTTTTGGAAAGGGGCTATGGATGCTTGGTGTTTTAATGACCAGCCTTAAAGGCTGGAGGCTCTTCTTCTCTCTCCTTTACATGTATAAATTGAGACCCTCCTATCAAGTTTCAATATAGAAATTTTTTGTTTCCATTTTGCAAGTCAGTTTGCCAGAAAGTTCCTACATTGAGAGAGTTCTGCCACTGTTTTTGTTCGCTAAGCTAGACAGAAAGTGCTTCTGCCGTAGCTGGTTTTCACCGTCGTATCCTGGGAGATAGATGCCGGGATTCCTCAAGCACTCGACCTGTGAGGCGGCGAAATCTGTTTTAAGGAAACTGCTTCCGTGCAGGCTTCAGTTTCGTCTCTTTACCCTTTTATTGTTTTGTGTATTTCTATTGAAATTTAATTGTAATTATCTGCATATGTTCTTGGTATATAATTTGATTTCTTCATAAATCTATTTATTAATTTCACAATTTGAACAACATGCACGAAGGAGAATAATTAATTGAGAGAAATATCCACAAATTTTTTACCGAAAGGATTTTACCGTCATCTAGCTCCAATGGTTGTGGGGGTGCAAGTGCAACTCTAAAAGAGTGTTACTATTCACATTTTATCAATTATTTTGAATAGAAAATTTTATTTTCACACATTTAATTAGTTTAGGGCACATCTTTTCTTAATATACACACCTATTAATTTGATTATTAACTAATTTTCTCAATCCATACACTTAAAGTTACAATTACACCATTTACTCATAACCGTTATATACAAACCACTTTACCCTTAAATCCATACACTTTTATTGACCCTACTTCAAATTTGTAGTTTCACCCAGACAAAAGTGAAAACTAAAGTCAGTGAAGTTTCCGTTCAAAAAACAAAAAAAAGAAGTCTGTGAAGTTCCTTCCATTGAAAACCATTGCAGACCCTTGTTGAAGGTAAGGAATCTTTCCATTTTATTATTACATTTATCATTTTGTTATTGTATTTACCATTTTTGAATCTCTGTGCACGCCATTGGTATAAAACCGTCGATTTATTTTTTATTTTTTATGTTTTATGTTTTACAGTTTGGAGCTCTCAACATTGGTTGTCCGAAATTGTAGGTTTAATTGAGAACTTAATTACCGAATAAATGGTATTATTCGACTGATTAGACCCCAAAAAAATATAAAAATTTGATATATGTTTGCTGAATTTGATAAGTTGTTTCGATTCTGTAGTGCCGAAAACATGCAATACTTTCGACATTTGATTTTCGAAATTTATGTGTTGCTTTAGCACTGAAGTTCCGAACGGATTTTTTTTGGCCTTTTTTACTTTTTTAATAAATATAAATTTAGACCAAGTTATATAGGCCACCAAGAATTGGTTTTACCTTAGGTTCTTTTCCAACAATTTTATTTTATGGGTATGTTTATGTATGTTTTACCTTAGGTTTTATTTTATGGGTAGGCCACCAAGAATTGGTTTTACCTTAGGTTCTTTTCCAACAATTTTATTTTATGGGTATGTTTATGTATTTAATTTTTTTTTTTGTGCGTACTTCAATATATAACAATAGAAAAAAAAAATCTGCGCAATATTGGTACTTCCATATTATATTGTTAGCACACGTAGTTGTTATTGCTATATCGCTTGATGACTACAATTTGACTATTTGATTATATATTTGTTAGTGTTTTCATTATAAATGCTACATTGGATTGATGAGAACAACTTTCCTTATGCAAATGGATGCCGGTCCCAGTCAACGTCAGTCAGTAACTAGGGATGGTATTAAAAAATATCACCCCCCGATCCCGATTTGAGCGGTTTTTTTCCAAAAAATATCCCCAGCGGGGCGGGGATGGTATTCAAAAATTAATTCCCAATCAATTTCGGGCCAGGGACGGTGGCTCTCACGGACAGCTTCTCTATGACAAATAGGACTTGTGATAACAGACGTAATGTAATTCCCTGTCCCCGCCCCGGTTTATCCCCGAAGTGAAATTACTATTTTAGCCCTATATATATATATAAACTAAACCTATTCAGTTTCACAATTTCACTTCTCTCGCTCTCTCATTGCGTCTTTCACTTCTCCTTCCCTCACTCACTGACTCAGAGATCTCAATCTCACCCGTCTCTCTCTCATCTCCCTCTCCCTCACTCACTCACTCACATAGATTTCTCTTTCTTATTCTCGCACTTCTTATCATTATCAACATCATCCACTACCACCATCGATCTGATGTCCTCCGTGAAGCCAGTGAAGAAGTGAGAGAACAGTTGCCACCGATCTGAACAGATCTGAAGAAGTGAAAAAGCCCTTTGTCTGTAAAATCCTCCGTTGCCACTGATCTGAATAGATCGTGGATCGTGAACCGTGAAGCCACCGATCTGAACAGATCGAGGTTCGATCGATGTCTAGATCAATGGACAGATCGTGAAGCCCCATATATGTATATATATATATATATATATGTTGATGATCAAATTTTTTGAACAGATCTGTTTGTCGTCCATTATACAGATTTTTTTCTTTTTTTTTTTTATGATCAAATTTGTTGTTGATTGATGATTGTTGATTTGAACAGTTGTTGTTGTTGTGTGTTTGTTGAACAGATCTGTCTGTCGTCCATTATACAGATTTTTTTTTTGTGTGTTGAACAGATCTGTCGGGATGTTTTGGGGTTGGGGAAACCCAATCCCTTTTAGGGGATGGGGGCGGGGGTGGTGATGGGTTTCCCGCCGGGGATCGGGGGCGGAGACGAGGATTTTTTTACCTTCGAAGATCGGGGGCGGGGAGTGTTATCCTCGGCCCCGCCTCGTCCTGTTGCCATTCCTATCAATAACAGCTTCGAGCAGAAGACTCCATGAATTACAGAATGCTGAACGTGGACGTAGACGTTGATGTGCTCGAGTACATGATGATAATGCACACATTGCCATGGATGATGACCCTATACATGATGCACCAGTTATGGACAATATTGCTATGAATGATGACCCTACTAGTGATTATGCTGACATTATTGATGAAGATATCCTTACTCAGCCATTTCTGGTAGGGCCAACTGATCCATCAATCCTTAAAAGTTTTAAAAGTCATGTTGGCGCAGCTATTTGGAATGGTACTGATGAAATGGGGCCCTTGAAGTGTCATAATTACTCATCTAAGATTCGTTCGTGGCCGTGGTGGGAACAAGGCAACAATGTTACATTTGTAAACATTGTGGAGATGTCAGGACTTGCACACTTAGCTTGTTGTACATACCACTTTGTCAACAAAATTGTAGTGTCTAATTTGGTTGAGAAATGGCAACCGAAGACAAACACCTTCCATTTGACTCTTAGAGAGATGACTATTACATTGGACGATGTCGCCAATATCCTAGGGCTTCCCATTGTAGGCAAATCTATTAGCGTGTGTAAGTTGTCAAAAAGGCGGACTATTGCATTAGTAGTTAGTACCCCTGAAATTGATGAGCAAGAGGTCAGACATGAGATGTCTAGTGTTAGAGGCAATTCAGTGAGGCTTGAGTGGTTGAGGGCACACTTTCATAATGTTGTAGACAATGATTTAATGCAAAGAATTACATGTGCAGGTAGAGCATACTTGCTATTTTTATTGGGTTGTACACTTTTCAGTGACAAGACTGGTACTAGGGTCCCCGTTGTTTATTTGAGTTTGTTGTCTAATTTGACGGCCGTATCTTTACATGCTTGGGGTGCTGCTGCATTGGCATACTTATGCAAACAGTTAGGGTACACTAGCAAGTCTGGCATGAAACAAATAGTCGGTTACATGACACTCATTGATGGATGGATTTATGAGCACTTTCATGACATGCCACATGTTTACCATTGGAATTCTCGGAGAGAGTCTGGTGAACAGACATAGTTGAAGGCTTTTCGAGAGGAGCTTGATAGGTTGGGTATACACGATGTAAGTTAAAAAGTCCTTCAAAATTTGAAACTTTATTTCATATAAAATTTAGAATTGTCATAGCTTATAGTTGTTATTGTTTGTACGTTATTTGGAACCCGTACCAGAGTTGTAGAAATGCCCATCATGTCACCCAGTTACGTTCTACCATGGTTTCCTAAAGTGTTTAGAAGTAGTTAAACCATATCACCCTAATAGAGTTTTGAGACAATTTGGCAGAGTGCAGACAATCCCTAATCCACCACTTGGCCCTATGCGTGCTTCTCGATGAGCCATAACTCCACACTACAATGTTATGTATGCATACTTGGACATGATTTGGGAGGCATGAGACAACCATGTGTTATCTGATCGGAGGAGGAGTACATCGATACAACAACCTTGGGATTGTGTTTCTGGTTACATGGATTGGTACCAAACTATTACCCATATGTACATTCAAAACCCAGTGTGTCATTCTTAGGTGGACCCGAATATTCATCATTAACAGTATCCTAGCCAAGACGCACAGGTATCCTCTTTTTTATTTACATTACAAATTATTCATGAAAACTGTTATAGGTTTGTATATAATGTTGTGTTTGTTCTCATAATGAAGTGTATGTCATAAATATATCAGATTACTCATCCTTTCGTTGAGGCTAGTTATGAGGAAAGTATTCAACATCCTGATAGGCTTTACTATGCAATTGATGCAATTGAACAACTTCTTCAAGATTAGCACATTGTTGAAGCTGTGCCCAACATATCCACCAAGGGTCGGTCTACACCTAGCTCTTTTACTACACATCGTTTTGGAGCACATTATACTCGCCGTTCGCGTAGTTGATAGTAGTTCATAATGTTCGCACAAGTAGTTTGTGATGCTATTGGTGAATGTATAAGGAGACGAATATTATTATTATCTTTGGATTATGTACTTGTTGGATGCTTTGGTAGAGTTAGTAGTAGGTATTTATCCGTGGTACTCTTTAATATTATTATTACTCTTTGGATTATGTACAAGGAGACATGTATATTGTGATGATATGGATGGATTGAACTACTAGTTAATATTATTATTTCTTTTAAGATATTTGTTGGTTAATATTATTACTCTTTAATAGTAGTTGCACGTGGTTAATATTATTTTCACTACATTTTGTGTTCAGACAATGTAAAAATAATATGATATCCATTCCATAAATAAAAGAACTATAAATCATATGATATTCTATTAAAAAAATGACCATTACAAAATCCAATGGCAAAATGATATCCATTTCGTTACTCCATGCTTGTAAATAAAAACTAATGTTTTAAACATCTCATGACTGATCTCTAATACATTAATCTATGTCAACTACATCAAATGTCTCTCAAGTAGCTACGTTAGGTCCAATGTTGTCTTAGAATTTTTGAATGTGGCTAACATATGTATTCTCCCATTCCAATGCATAAGGGTGATGGTGAACTCGCCAAAACACAACAATGGAAAGGACTAGATGACCGAGCCTCCAAAAATACCTGCGTGTACATCCAATGAAAATTCAACCAAATTAATATAATAAAAAAATTACATATTTTTATCAAATCAATCAAATTTGCAATTACACAAATATTAAATCCATTGTTAGGTTATTTTCATAGGTTATGCCTGCACAAAATGATTTCCGCTGACAAATCTAATGGCAATCTCGCGACGATCAGCTAGGGTTACTAGAGGTGATCTCAAAGGTAAGAAAGTGAGACACTGTTGCAATAACAAGTAATACAAGACTACATTATAAAATGATGCAATAAGATGCCCCATGTCAGGCACAGTCATCCAACAATCAAAGTGTAACAACCCTCATTTTGACTTAGTCATACTTGCATACATTTATGGATGATCTTGTTTTAATATGTGCATTTGCAAATCTTGTCTTGTTTTGCTTGAATGATTGCTTACACGCTTTGTTCTTGTCTGGTTTGTTGCCGAGATCATCCTAAGCCTAGACACCTTTGAAACCTTTGTCACTTAGAACTATCTTAGAATCCCGTTGGTTGACATCTATCTTCACCCTGACATATTGGCCGAGATGTCACCATCTAGGCCGAGGTGCGCGTCGCCTAGGCCGAGATGTGCATCATCTGGGCCGAGATGTTAATATGTAGGCGTTCTAGATCCTTGATCCTTGCATGAGTGATTTTGTTCCTGGAATGGTATGACCTGGACTGAGGTGTGGCACAGTTTAGTCAAGTGTTGTCCTTCCAAGCCGATGTCCTTGCCCCTTGATTACCGGAGTCTTGTTGTTAGCCGATGTCGTTACTTGCCGGAGTGTTCTTACCGCCTAGCTTGTTGAGTACACTTTGTCTTGGTCTTGTCTTGTCAAGTCAGTCACCTTTTTGAGTTGAGCGAATCAGCCGATGCCACGTGTCCCGACATAGGGATTAAGTCAGTGATTGTCGTGAGAAACACATCATTTGTATCAAATCTTGCCTTTTAGAGAGAGAAACTGAAGGAAGAAGAAGGAGAAGTTTAAGCTAGAGAGAGTGAACTTCCAAGCTTGATCGTTGGAGCTTGAACCGTTAGATTTGGGCTTTGAGGTTAGAATCGTAACCTATTCTTGTTGTTCTTATTGATCATCAAGCTGCATTGCACGATCAAACCTCTTCCGCATGCCATTCATCGATTTAAAGTTGGTTTTAGAAAGAGAAAACGATTTTCATGTGTTTTAAAGAAAAGCCTCGTTTGATCCGAAAGTTTGCATTAAAGCTCATGTTTTTGTGTTTGTTTTGATAAGATCCTTGAGTGTGGGTACCCAGGTCCATGTTTTTGATTTCATAGCATGAAGTCTCAGCTGTTGTAATAGCAAGTTTTGATCTTTGCATTCATCTTCCTCATGTTCATGTTCGTCGAGTTCTTCATGCTCATGTTCTTCATGTTTATCAAGAGGGAAACCCAGATTCTTCCCGACTTCGCTTTTCAATGTGGCCATCGAGGCTACACCTCGGCAAAGAGGTGTGGGACCTCGGCCTAGACCTGGTAGTTGCCCAGCGCGCTTTTCCAAGGATAAGAAACTGTGTTTCAATTTGATTGACTTAGTTTTGAAGAATGCCGAGTCGAGGTCATTTGCATGTAAGCTAGACTTGTTTTGAGTAGTGCATTCAATAGACTTTGCCATGTGTTGGAGGACTTGGACTTGCCTTGACCCTGACGTTTGAAAAACTAGGTGAGTGGTATTTTTAATAAAGCTATGTCATACGTTTTGATAAGGACTTTGTTTTGCTTTGTTTTGAAAGTGTTTGTTAAGCATGAATAATTGTCCCTGTTTTGTATACCAAGTATGAGCTTGTCTTGATGACCTTCTTGAAAGTCCCTTGTGCTGGAGGACTCTAAACTTTCGCAGCACATCTCGTTTGAAAGTCCCTTGTGCTGGAGGACTCTAAACGTTCACAGCACATCTTGTTTTGAAAGTCCCTTATGCTGGGGGACTCAAAACTTTCGCAGCACATCTCGTTTGAAAGTCCCTTGTGCTAGAGGACTCTAAACTTTCGCAGCACATCTTGCTTTGAAAGTCCCTTGTACTGGAGGACTCTAAACTCTCGCAGCACCCTTGATTTGTACTCTAGTGTTAAAGGGCTACGGGCCTTTGTAACATAGGTCCCTCGTGCTGGAGGACTCTAAACTTTCGCAGCACATCTTGTCTTGAAAGTCCCTTGTGCTAGAGGACTCTAAACTTTTGTAGCACCCTTGGTTGAGATGCCTCTTTTGCTTTGTCCTGATTTGCCACGGACGGTTTACCGCGTGGACCTGTTGCCGAAATGTTGTCATTTGTGATATATGATGCTAGCAAGTGTCCCTTGGAACTTTGAAGATTTGTTTGATGGGCGAGGTCCATTCCTTGTTATATATAGAGTTTGTCTTGTATTGTTTTGAAAGGATTTGGGCTGTTATTCATGCAAACCCCTTTATTATTTATACCATTCACTGAGTATTCAAGCTCACCCTCTCTATATATATGTAGGTGATGAACAAGAAGGCGGTGACGCCTAGATGTGATTTCTGGAGCTTGTTTTGGGTCTTGATTATGTCGGCTTAACCTGCATTATGTCGGCAGTCTTGAAAATCATGCTTCTCGACTTGTAATATTTGTATTTCGAACACGTCGGCTGAGAAGCCTTTTTATCAGGATGTATGTTTTTGTATGATTGTTATGTCGGCAAAGAAGATGTCGGCAACCTGGCAGACTGTGTTCTTAGACCTGTAATTCGTACAATTTGTTTATGTCGGCTTGTGGAGCCCTTTGCTAATACGAAAAATGTAACTTGCACTTTGCTTTGTTTGTAATTAAGTTATAACCCATATGTAAATGGTTGCTATCTCATTTGACTTAAGCACAGCTCTTATGGACCACTTGTATTTTAAATTTTTGCTTTCGCACTTGTGAGCCACATATATTTATACTCTGTATGTGTGTGAATCTTGTAAGTTGGCCTTTGGTAATGTCGAATTACTGGCCATCACAGCACCAAACTACTAGGGGCGGTTTGGGGTCGTGATAGAATGGTATCAGAGCCAGGTTCCTTAGTATACGTTATTCACACACTTTGAGTCCTAAAGAGCATAGGATTTCCCCTTAGAAGGAAGTTAGAATTGTATCATATTGCTTGCTATGTGAACAAGTTGTACATTATCTCGACATGCTTAACTGTTACTTGCCTACGCGATTATTTGCTCATTTTGTTTTAAAGCCACATTTTTGCATACTCATAGTATCATGAGGAGAGGTAGACCTCCAGTTGGCCGAGATCAGTGGGAGGACAGAATAGACAGACTGGAGAGGCTAGTTGAAGGTTTGGCCCACGAGTTAAGGCAGACAAGACAGAAGTACGCTAGTGTTACATCGACTCAAGCCGAGCAGACAAACAGCCGGAATGCAGTTCCATCTCCACCCCCTCCAGTACCGCAAGTGCCCCCACAGCTAGCTTTA